AAAAAAAAAACTCTTAAATGTAGTAAAAAAAGGATAAAGGGTCAATTTTATTAATCTGCCAATAATTTCTGTAAATGGACTGCAATTATATAAATGTTCCCTCAATGACAACATCATGGAGTGTCAATAGATCCGGATTACCTTGATGCAGTGTCTATGTGGCAAACTTTTCCCACCTTCCAGTAACCTCTCCACAGCCATTCATTTAATGAGGTCTTCTCTAAAAATAGCTGCTGATTTACATTCTGTCTGGAGTTGTGTTCTGTGCACGCTGTGTTGGAATGGCTGTCCTGAAGGTGCTGTAAATCTGGATTCCCGTGTTAGGGCTTGGGTGGGTGACCTTTTGCCATTTGAAGGGTTCAAGAGTGATGTCACCCTAACCGTTGCTTACAACTAATTGAGAAAACCAATTGCTTCCTGTGAAGCATGAGCCATGCCGACATTAGCTGTAAAATAAAAGTTCACGTATAGTTGTTTGCGTCAAAAGTTTGATTTTCTGAGCCACTGGAGCAAAAATAAAACAAAACAGAAAGCCTTATGAGTGCCGCGTAAATTTTTTGAAGTATAATTGAGTCATCATAACTGAAGTTTCAAACATTTAAACAAAGTCAGTTCAATATGATAACAGCTAGCTAGAAAAAACATGCCATTTGGCTGTCATGGTGCAAATACACGTTTATATCGTCTATTTTTATAGAACAAGAGGGGTTGTGGATGATCAAAACTAAAAAAAATATGGGAAATTACTGAAGTGGCAGTGCTGACAGGTTGTCACATTGGGAAAAGTGTAAATGATGAATGAGAGCATGTGATGGAGGAGGAATATATAATCCTCTTGTTGGACTCGCAATTGGAGAAAACATAGTTTCTGCTTTTCTTATAAAAGCAAATCGACAGGTTCTCTGGTTTTAGTGTACATCTGACCATTGTCTCATCTATTAGCTCTAGAAAGAAGACATGCAGACAAATGAGTCTTTCAGATAAGAACATGGCATACAATTTAGATATACATTTCAGCCACCACTCCATGTGATGAACTGCTCAAAAATGCTAAGTCTCGTCTCATAGCTTGCTCTGAATGCAACTTCCGGAACAGATTTTTAACCACTATATTCCTAGTTCACAAATATTTGTCCGGATTTGATTAACTTTCTAAGGTGCAGGATTGTAATGACTCAATCTTTGTTATTTCGTGTGGATGTGGCTAATCACTTCATTTGCATATCTAACATTGGCTAACACCTTGAAATCAGACTTTTTCCACTTCCTTATTTGCATTTGCACCACAAATTAACACCCTGGAAAAATAATTGACTTTTTCACTTCTTACAGATGTTGTAATTAATTAACAAGTTAGGCAGCTTAAGATAGAGAATAATGCTGGAATAAGACAATTACAAGTTGCAAATTAAGTAGCGGTCATGGTTTTATTAAAAATACATTAAAGCTCATCAGTTTTATTTCCTTAAATATATTAAAACAATACAGTTTGACATGAAATACATAACAAAAATACTTTTCTGGATATGTGTTTTCAATGCTAATGAATCACGTATTCAGTCGCAGAATATGCAGATTGTTGCATTAAATCTTAATGCAAAAATCAGCATATTCTGTTTGATCTTCCAAATGATGTATATATTATTTTAAAATAATATTTGACTTCTTGCAGCACTCGCTTTGCTACTTCAAGACCTTTTGAACTTCAAAACAGAATACAATAGAAGACAACAATTTAGAACAACATAGTCGTGCAACTGGCATTCAGTGTGTTAGCAATGCCGTAATTCTCTGAACATTGTTCATTTACTACCAGGGCCACCAGCTGCATTCACTTGTTAGAGATTGTCATATATAAATGGAAACTTGTGAAGTGCAAAGCATCACAAAAGGTGTAAATATTGTCTGAAGAGCTTTAAGATGGGTTCATTCTCAGGCCATCTGTATGATTTTAACCTGCTGTAGTGTGAATTTTTGTGAATGTCTTATAAATTTATATAAATTAATTAAATGTATGTATCTGTATTCCATGTGTAAATATATGGCATATATTGCTTCCATGAACAATATAACATGAAAGATGTTTAATATTGTATTTGTCATATGAATATTTTGCAAATTTGATAATTAGGGATTTGAATAAAAAGCCAAAGTCAACAAATATACATAAATATAATAACCTAATATTTTAATATTAAAACCCATATATCTCTTCAAATTCATTTTGATATATACAGTATACATATATATATATACATACATACATACATGCATACATATATATATATAAACAGTACACAGTACAAACAGTAACACATTGAATTGAACATGAAATTTGCTTGTAAAATGTACTCCAATAATCTTTGTTTCAGTTAGCACTTTCAAGAAATTATTTTTTACAGTGAAGTTGAAGACATACGTTGTTTTAGTGTTAAACTATTAGGTTTTTATGTTATCAATTAAATAATACTCCTCAAGAAAAATGCTGTTACTTAATATATTGTTGATCATGCTTAACAGTCTTCTAATTATGAACTCATTTGTTCTGTGTGTAATTGTGTATACAATATGTACATTTTGTTGCTTGTAGCACGAGTGGCACCGGGTATAACAATCAATCACTCATCAACAGAGAACAGGATCTTGACTTTAGGCCTTCCTTACATAACTTTACTCATTGCACAATGTCACCCATTCCTCCTGCTTCCATTTGCAGGCTGAGCAGCAAGGCCATGGTGCAGTTTAATGAGAGGGTAATAAAAACTTGTGACCCAGTGACCTTTGTGGTTCATGACTCCAAGAGGATTAGCCATCGTTTCTCACATCTTACCATGAGCGCTCCAGGCCAGCCTTCATGTGGTCAGAGAAATTCTATTTTGCTCACATCTAAGTCACAATTCTGTGGTTATGTGTTGGGTTCAATTCCAAGTACACAGGAACTGAATGCACAGAATGTCAAGGAGATTGCAGTGAAATACGAGTATCAACAAACTTACATGGATACACTAATGCACACTACACTTTTTACATCTAAAATGTGGCCATAAACACATGATAATTATGGAGGAGATTATATTTATGTTCTAACACAAATGCCTATTTTATCTAGCTGAAATGAGAGGAGTGTTGCTTTCCTAACACCTAAATGCAATCTTTGCTCTACTCCAAGATTGTAATCTAAATGATAAACGCATAAACATATTTGCCCAGGGGATTGTTTACTGAATGAATTTAATTATGTAAACTAATAATGTCATGTATTTTATGATTGGATCATTTCTCAAGGCTTTTTCATAATGTTATGTTACATGGATACATAAAGGTCAAAAGTAAAAACACGTTTAAAATATGTGATATTTTGTCAATTTAAACTGAAAAAAGATTAGTAATAATAATGCTTTTTTTTTTGCATTAGTGTTCATTCTGTTCTATAGGTTCACTGCAAATAAATATTGTAAATATTAACTGTAAAACACTGTAGAACTTAAAAAAAAAATTAAAAAAAAAGGTTAATGGCAAGTTCCCTTATTATATACAGGGAAAACCTGTGATAGATCCAACCTTACATTTCATGCAAGTTTACAGTACTAAATGTACCATTATGTACCATTTTTGGAAGTAAAAATGCACAAATCTTATAATTTACAGTGAAAAACTGTAAACTGACATTCCCAGAATTCCTTGGCTGACACTTCACATTTGATGGCATTTTGTTTACATAATTGTGCTTCTTAATAGTTTTTGCTATCACATGTATACTAGGGTTTTAGATAACCTGTTTATTTAATGTTCATTGTATTACTGTAGGTCGTGTTTGTTACCATTATGGCGTTCAGTATTTGTGCGTATGACACGTAAACCTTTTATATACTGTATTAGGGTTTGCTTCAGTGTGGAAAATCTACTTGTGATTAATTTGATTTGTTAATGTGTCACAAAACACAATTTAATAGTAATAGTAATAGGTTTAGTAGGTTTTTGTTTGCTTATTTGTTTTGTAAATTAAAAAATTTTAACTGTAGAATTTAAAGGTTGTTTTCTGTATAAAAAGACAGGACTTTTTACTTATTTATTTATTTAATACAGTGTTATTAAAACATTAAAAGCTTGAAAATGTGCATTTTTCAGCAACAGTAAATGTGTATTATCTGTTCTCCTATACTGGGCTTTACTGCTTGATTTCCTGCAGTATCAGTGATGAGGTTAGAAAGCAGACAGTAGAAATTTGGCATTTCACAAGATGATGTTTTAAAATCTGTGATTGATTTGACAAACCACCAAGTAGATCAGTGGTTCTTGTAATGGTAAATTCCAGGCAGAATACTCTGGCTTGTTATTTTAGATCACACGTTCTCTGTTCAGCTAAAGGTACATAAAATGCTTCATTTGATCAGTGACATAAAATCAAGTTTTTGCCAAGTCAGTCATATCGCAAATTATTTCTTTAATTGCTTTGTTTTTCAGGGAATTAAAGAACAGAAACTTCAAACATTTACACTAATGCTGAGATATTACTAAAAGTTATCTTTGTCATTTTTTTGTCATTTCAGAACTATTTAGTTAATCAATGCTGATTGTGGCAAAAACCTAAAGCCAATTCATCAATTAATTCTGGTATGTGACTGTCAATATTAAATGTAACTACACACCTCTAAGTTAATATTAAGAAAAGATCATGTCAAAAGCAATTTTATAATAATGTGTCAACAGGAATGAGGTGTTCCCATAGACCCTCCCTTCGAACAGGAGAACTTTCTTTTGGCAGAAGCCAAGGTTGAGTACATGAGCACACACACACATACACACAGCTCAAATGATTTATTACCTTGGACAACTTGGAGGCAGCACTCAAATATCAGAAGAGGCCAGAGCGCTTCAGGAGCACACAGAGAACTGCGAACAGGTAGGGATTCTTTTTTTTTGCCTTTTCGTTGTTGTTGAATCAAAACTGAGAGACATGCACAAAGAACAAGAAAACAATAAGAGGTTATTTTCTTTGTATTGAGCCAAAGCTTCTCTCATCACCCTGTATCTAGGACACAAACTAAGTGGCAAGTTTCGCACTGGTGAACTAAACTATGCATGTACTTTGACTTAATGTAGCGCCTTTGGAGTTTTCACAATCCAGGGCTGACAACCACAGATTATTTTGTGTTCTGACGCCAAAGACTCTAAACTCCAAAAATATCTTGTGCTGCTTTAAAGACTTCCCTGTTTATAGACTTACTTTATACTGTCTCATAAAATTATTAGTCAACATGGATGTTATAAATGCAGTTTCTTACAGCTAGTTTGGTGGCCACACATCAAAACCATTTGAGTCGTTCTTCCCGATTTGGTTTTCAGGGTCTGGAATCTGTGAGAGCTGCTAGTCAGGTGGCACAAAGTCAAATCAGAACAGTTGCAAGGATGTTCTAACTATAGATACGGGTATCACATCAAATGAAGCCAATGTACGTGAAGGATTTTGAATCAGTGGGTGGATCTAATCCATACTTTTTTTGTGTGTGACAGATGTGTCTTCTGTAAAATAATTAAAACAATCTTCTTATTTGTTAGTGAACTGATCATTAGCTCTGAAGTTTTTAATTTAAACAAGAACAAGACATGCAAAAGACTATTGTAATGAAACATAGGGGAAAAAAACTGCAGAAGCGTGCAAATAATGGTGTTCAGGTTGTAGAAGCATAATGTTAATTAATATATATATATATATATAATTTATAATTTATTAAAAACAGAAGATACAATGATCTCCGTATTATAGAAATGCAAACCAACATTTATGTAGGTACACTTTCCTTGGGTGATGATAATGAAGCTGTGTACGAAAAAGCATCAGGACCTTATGGAACAATTAAATCTTAATGCATATGGGAGTTGCTCTAAAATATTCAGAGTGGCTATAAAGTGAATTCACAATAACTCCTTGTGCTGGGCTGCTGGCATATGCATTGTTGCTTTACATTGTGAAGTGCTAAAGCGAATCTAAAGGTTTAAAGCTGTTCTTGAAATATAGAAAAAGGAAATAACAAATTGTCTCAACAATTATTATTTACCAGTAAAGCTTGTCACTAACAGTGGCTTTACGTTAATTTATATTTACATGTTGTTTTCTAGAAGCCACAGATTTTTATCCTGCACACTGTGAGGCTTAAGAGGTGCGTGGGGACATTTGAGATCCCTGGAGAGTCTATCCACATGAGCCATTTTAACTGGGCAAGGCTGTCAGGACAGAGAAAGAGATTTTATCGGCAATCAGAGAAATAGGAGGGTGATAGACTAAGCAAAATTGGCTTTGCCTATTACTGAGGGTGATTCTGCTCACTTAAACACCCTGTGGAATCCCATATTCTGTACTCTAAATAAAGTACTGACAAGCAGGCTGATTTATAACGCAGTCATTTCCTCACCTAAAACATGTGTTGCTTCAGTCTAAGACCTAAGGGGCTCATTGCCAGTCTTTCCTAAGAGGAAAAGTAGACTTAATGCTTGCATCAATATTGTGTTTAGTGCATGGTTAGTTATGCACCAACGTAATTAGGCAATTACTAAAACAATCACTGCTCTGGAAATGAGACTTAATTTTTTTTTTTTTTTTAATTCTTAAAGCATGTTGGTTAAATCCTCTAAAATTGGTCAATTTTTGAAATAGAATGTGATTTTACACATTTCAGACTCAAGATAATATTGAAAAAGCCCTTTGGCATAGCAGAAATTAGAACTTTCCCATTGGTATCATGTCACCTAATGCATTGTATGCTAATTATATGTATGCTATTACTCACTAAGTGTCTCCCTTTCTGAACTTTGCCAGTTTTGAGAAATGTAAATAACTAGCGCCAATCGAGGGCTGTGCTAGGCTGGCATGATAGCCTATCATTTGACAAATGACTGTGTCCTACTAAACATGTCAGCAGGGCAATTCTGAGTAAAGGTAAAAAGGTTAGCTGTATAGTTTAAAACTTGAGCATGTCATTAGACTTGCTTTTCATATAGTCATGTGAAGTGGTAGTTTACTCATGCCCTGTTATTACTGCTATACAGCCCGGCCTGCCGCTGGCATGTAATTATGTTATGAAGCATGGCTCTGGTTTCTCTGCATGATGAAAATCTCCTTTTATGCAGCAGTTCATCTGATCTGAGATACAGGTGGAAAACCCTGGAAGCTAAGCTAACACAGGCAAATTTTGCACAGTAAACCACTAATGTGTTAAGTAACATATACCTATACTTTTAAGCGTAGAATGCCCAAGATGGCAGTGAGATGAAGTGATTTATTGTCCCCATATAAGCATGTGATTGCGTTGAGTGGTGTGAAGCTCAGGTTGCAGGTAAACTGAAGATCCTCGGATTGGCAAGCGTCAGTGTTGGGATATTTTGCTCAGGAGGGTAAGATAGCTCGTTTTCCAAAATGAACAAAAGCCAAGGCCTACTTGGGACATACTGAAAACCGGCATGGGTGTTCAAATTATTTGTCATTCTGAATACCTTGTGCTGTAATCAGAGAATGTGTAACAGTGTTTCTCATACAGTTTTGTTTTAGCAGCCAGATTTTAAACTGGACCAAGTGGTGACCCAAACCATTTATCAAACAAAAATAAGGGAAATTGACCATTTTGTTTTCTGAACGCCTCTTGAATTTAGATTTTTTTCGTGCTCTCATCACAAAACAAATTGTGTTTGGCACAAACCATGTTTACTCTCACTTGAAGTGATCTGTACTTAATTTTGTCTGGGTCCATTTTGTTCTACCTTACATCATATTGTTCATGGTTTTTGAGGATGAACTGATGTCACACAACCTTTGTTGGCATTCACCAAATTTGGCTGCTTCTATCAAGTGACAGATGAATTTGCGCTAAAACAATGAATTTGATAAAACAATGAATATGACTATTTATTTTGCTATCATATAGGATCCTAAAAGTTAGTTACTTACAATTAGCATTTAATTTTTTTCCCTTGCTGTCCGCAACCCTTTCAGATTCAGAACAGACCTGAAACCCATTTTTGAGTTAGGACCAGCAGTTGAGACCACTGATATAATAGTGTAGATATCATGATTTTGGTAAAACGTTCAATTCATAATATTATTATTATTATTTTTTTTTTTTTTACAGCATTTATTGATCTAGGTTAGTGTTAATATACTATTGTTCACTGTTAATTTTGATCATTGTTAAAAATATATTTTAGAAATCTTGAACTAATGCTAATTTATGCTATCTGTAATGGTATAAATGCATTAGTACATGAAGAAATGAACACTAATCTAATAAATGCTGTTAATTTTTAGTTCAATGCATTAACTAACATAAATAATTTAAACTTTAACTTTTTTTAGTGTCACCAGGACTTCATTATTTGGTACATGCATTCACTTGTTCAACCTGAAACTGATCATTATTAGCAAATTTACTATCCGAATTATACTGCCGCAATATAACTGCCATAGTGTTATTTTCTATGATGCAACCAATTGAAATAATAACTGTCAGGTTTTACGCCAACAGAAATGACAAACCAAACCATGCATAATGATGAGTGCAATGAATCACATGCATGTTGAAGGACGACACTCAAATGTCAGATTTCAGCAGCTTGTGATCCACAAAACGCTTGCATTTATATCTCATTATGCTCTGTGCAGTGTCTATGAGAGGTCAATCAGCATGCTATTGTGTATGGAATATGGCACTCGGTCAGATGACTGATGTAGCACAGAATGCAATTTCATAGAGTTATTTATTGAAAAAGATTGCCTCTGCATAAACCAACCTGTTTCGGTCAGGATCTGAGATGAGATTGAGACTATCATTAGCAGGAGTCAACAACAAGAGAGGGACAAGAGTCATCGAGGGCCATAGACTACTAGATCATTCCAAATAAACAAGATCTGTCCTAGTCACCTGCCTACCTAGACAGTTTTTCTCATTGTATGGCCAAAAAAATTGCACATCCTTAAATGAGAAGAAAATCCTGTAATGTATGGAAGACCATTTCAGCCATAAAATTAAAAATTAAAAACAGTAATTGTGACTTTTCACAATTGTGATTTTTTTCCTTGCAATTACGAGTTTATATCTCACAATTCAGACTTCTCATCTCAGAATTGTGAATTTATAAATTCAAATGGGAGTTAAACATAGGACTGCAATTTCCCAGTATCGCAATTCTGGATTTATATCTTGCAATTCTCCGTTTATATTAAAAAAGCCTGAATTTTGAGACATGAACTCAGAATAAAAAAGTTTTGTGAAATCAAAATCACAATTGGCGGGTTTTTTTAATTATTATAATTTTTTTGAATTAAAATCCGGCATTGCAAATTTTTTTGAATTATTATTATTCCTTAAACAGGCACTCAATGAGAATGTCAATTGTCATGTCAATTTTTAATTCAATACTGAAAAATGTTATGAGAACTGTAAAATTTAATTAAAAATTTATAATTTTTCCCCTATATTTCTGTGTGCTATACACTTTTATGTTTGTCTGACTACTCCAATGCGGCTTTAGCTACATGCTATGTCCAAATTCAATTGAAATCAATTGCAGAGCAATTCAGTCACTTCTGAGGTTTTGTTTCAGTTAGGACGCTGCCTTAGGGGAAGTTCACACAGGACACGTTCTTGCTTTCAAAAAGAGCTAGCTAACTTGCCACTGCATCTTAAAAAGCAGTACATGTGAAACAAAGACATACTATTTGTTTACACAGACAAACATTTAAAACTGCACAAATGGATGCATACATTCCATGTGACAACCCTATGTAGGCAGTAGACAGCACACTAGGTTTTGGATCAAAGCTAAATATCTCGAACACATGCTCACTAAAATATTTTCAGCTCTCCTCCTCAAAGCCAATATGTCTCCATGCAGGAGACGGTTAAATCCAAACATGTAAAAATCCCATATTAGTGCTAAGCTAGTGCTAGTATACTAGTGAGGGCACACTGACTGGATCTGAATCATGTATGTGAGTGGATTTGAAAAGATGAATGACTAGAGCCGTGGAGGTTTTGCTGACTCGGCCCAAAGCCTCTCTAATGGAACATAATGCACTGCACTGTCACACTACATCACATCCCAACAGATGGGATAACTGTCGTCCTACTTTGCTCCATCTTTGTCCCTATTTCTCCTGAATTGCTCTTTTCCCAAAACTGCTTAGACTTAATATGTTTTTTAAATGTGCAAATGCTCAGTTTGACCTATTTTGAGGTGTCTGCTTAATGACGATAAGTGTTGAAGAAGCACATGTGATGAATATCCTTGACAGATTGATTTATAAAATTAGCTTTTTCATACATCTTCTAATAGTATCTTGTATTGTGCAAACATTTTTATCTATCCAAATGTTTAATAAGACTGAAATTGAATTGACCTTTCATATTGCTTTTCTCACACCCAGAGAAGCTTCTGAATTCTTGAGCCATTGGACTGCATCAAGATGATGAAAAAAGCCAAGGTTTTAGATCCCACTGCTGCTGGGCAAGGCGGTAAGAACAATATAATTGTTCTCTCTCCCATATGGCAGGCTGACACTGGCACCGAACCTTGTCCAACTGCTCTATTACTGAATTACTGAAACAACAAATCCAGCCATGTTCTCCATGAAGACCAGCTAGAGATCCTTTTTTGTTTTGTAATTCGTTCTTTCTCTTTCTTAATGGTCACTATTCCCAGAAGATGTAATTTAGTTAATCAGTTTTCTTTGTATTCATAATGATGAGAGTATAGCAATGGAATTTGCCATACTTGATAGGACATGGGTATCATTTAGAAAAGTTCTACCACAGTAAGAAGCTGAGTTAAAATGCAATGCCGGATTTTCCAGATAAAAACCTAATGACCTTCTCTCCATGGTAAAGTGAATAATATATCTGTCCCAGAGGGGTTAGAAGAGTAAGACAGTGAGATAAAAGCAAGTGTTGAATCTAACTTAGCCACACAAATTTATTTAAACACATGGATGATCAAACAGCTAGTTAAAGTCGTAGGTTGTGAGTTTGGAAACTAGCCACTGTGCACAAGATGGAAAGGAAGAGGAGACTGAATGTGGCTTATGCAATCAGAGCCTTCATCAGTGCCTAGTGCGCCCTTCATCTGGAAGTTCACTAAACAGCCCTGTGAGCATTTTCTGTCATTCAGTATGGGTTTCTTTGAATCGTGTAACCATGGATGCGAGGGACAACCATCAACCAACCAGAATGTGAATTGCCTGTGTTGTGAAGGACAGCAAATGGAGCCAGAAAAGAGGACCAGGCTGGAATCGAGCCTGTATAAACAACAGCTCTTACGTTTCATGATTAAACCTTTTTTATTTTCTTTAATTATTTCCAATTTTATTTGTTTCTCACTTTCTTTCTTTATTTCATTTTCTTTGAGGAGAGGGTTTATTTTACCTTATTTAATTAGACTTTTTTATTCTTTTTTTTTTTCTTATGTTAATTATGAGCCCCTCCTTTTTTACAATCATGGGTGACAATATTTAAATTGCAGGACATAAAAAGTGTCCTCACATTAATGACAACATTTCTGCCCATTTAGGCCTGTTTCACACCGCAAATTTAAGCAGAAATTTTTTTTAATGTATATTGACTTAAAACGTCTGATAGGGGAAAAAAAAGTCCATTAGAATGGACAAAACATATGGTGTAGTAACCAGACAAAAGCTGCAGTAATACTAATATGTGAAGTTCTCTGAGGCAGTTTTCACTCATGGGTGACAATATTTAAATTGCAGGACATAAAAAGTGTCCTCACATTAATGACAACATTTCTGCCCATTTAGGCCTGTTTCACACCGCAAATTTAAGCAGAAATTTTTTTTAATGTATATTGACTTAAAACGTCTGATAGGGGAAAAAAACAGGAAGTGTAGTAACCAGACAAAAGCTGCAGTAATACTAATATGTGAAGTTCTCTGAGGCAGTTTTCACTGCAATCAATAACTGCGACACGCAACGACGGCATCTGCCCATTTGCTTTTGTATACTGAACAAAAATATAAACGCAACACTTTTGTTTTTGCCCCTATTTTTCATGAGCTGAACTCAAAGATCTAAGACTTTTTCTATGTGCACAAAAGGTCTACTTCTCTCAAATATTGTTCACAAATCTGTCTAAATCTGTTAGTGAGCACTTCTCCTTTGCCGAGATAATCCATCCACCTCACAGGTGTGGCATATCAAGATGTTGATTAGCCCACATGATTATTGCACAGGTGTGCCTTAGGCTGGCCACAATAAAAGACCACTCTAAAATGTGCAGTTTTACTATATTGGGGGGTAGGGTATCTCTGTGCATTCAAAATGCTATCAATAAAATGCACCTGTGTTCGTTGTCCATAACATATGCCTGCCCATACCATAACCCCACCGCTACCATGGGCCACTCAATCCACAACGTTGACATCATCAAACCGCTCACCCACACGATCTGACCTGTACAGCGAATTCGGGATTCATCTGTGAAGAGAACACCTCTCCAAAGTGCCAGACGCCAAGCGAGAGCCTGCTGTGTGAAACAAAACATGACATTAGTGAGCCGATAGGCCTATCTGTACGGTACAATGTTGCTATGGACGTTGCTAAAAGAATCAAGTATTTAATATCGCTATTGACCTTGCTTTTGTTTACTAAATAGTATGCTAACTGTGAAACTTACATCAAGCCTGGCATGCATCTTTTCATGATGCGAGAAGTTCACTTATGTACTGTAGTTTATACATTTTTAAATGTTTCACATTTTCAGCCTTTTCAAATGTGCGATTTTTGAGGTAATCGCACATTTGAAAAGCCTGTGTTTCTAAGTTGGCGTATAGTAGTCTATTTTCACCATATTACCTTCTGGGTTCAGCACGCATACAGCCGAAATACACGTTGTGCAGAAATTCACAGCTATACTTCCGCTAGGCAGCAGTGTGAATACTGTAACCAGAATGATCACCTGCTGATAATGTATGCTGAGTGAAACAGGTCTCACACAATTTCCTTCCCAGTTTGTCTGCTTTTTCTCTAGTCTTGTCTATTGTAATCTTACATTCAACCACTTAGTGGTTTGAATAATTACGTTTTATTGGTTTAACCTTCTCGTCTTTTCCCCTGTCTTGTATTTCTGATTGTATTTGTTTCTTTCGAACCTGTCAAAGAAAAAAAAAAAGGCCAGGATTCACAACTTTGTGTTCTCCTTCTTTGTTTCCCCTTCCTTCGTTGCTGTTGTACTGTAATGTTGTGTCTGTACCAGGACTGGAAATTCTACCTCTCAAGAGACAAGGTAAGGTAATTGAATGACAGCAACCTGAACATCTGCATGCATGTCATGATATCCAGTAAATCTTCATATTATAACATATCATAACATAACATGATATATCATATATATCAAATAATACATCATAACATATCAAGTAATATATCATGTTATATCCAGTATATCATAATATCCAGCCAAATAAGTAAAAAGAATGGAGATCAGTGTGCTATTTATAATATGAATGTTCAGATTGCTGTCATTTAAAGACATCATGAAAATTCTTGAGGAATTTTCTTTTCTTATGTTGATGTATTGAAACATGATGGGATGTGTAGAAAATCATCTCCCTTATTTTAAAATAACTAATAGACTTTTTAACCAAAAGGTTCTCAGGAAAAGAAAAAATGTTGGTTGGGGCAAGTTGTCACATAAATGCTAGTATTTAGTACAATTAATTGCAATATTTACTGACCAAAATAAGCTGTTTTAGATTTTTGTGTGTGATGTTTTAGATTTTTGCCGTTTCATTTTTATTCATTTATTTTTTTCCCCCTCACAATTGATGTACTGTTTAAATTTTGCTGTATTCCTAAGAAGTGTGACAAACAAAAGTTACAAAGTTCAATGTGTGTTCACTGAACTATATCTTTTGGAGTAATAACAGTTAAATGAAAGGCATATGACAATACAGAAACTGACTTTAAATAAACCTACTTTAAGAAATATTTACCAGAGTGATCATTATGACAACTATCCCTGGATTATTCCCCTATTCATACATTTAGGATGTGTTTGAATCTGCAAAACATGAATCTGCATATTTAAAGCAAATCAAGAAGCAAATTGTCATTGGTACAATATCATTATATGTCTTAGATATTATCTCTTTTTCACTCAAGGAAGTTTTTCTGCCTCCACTTCAAATATATCATATTTTGTTTTATCAAATGTTTTTCGATACATAGACTACAGTCATGCACGTTTTTCCCCCCTGATGTTCTGACAATGTACCATGAATGTGGATTCTCTCAGGCATCAAAAGGAGATCTAAGGTTCCCGGTGTTATGATTACACAGTACATTGAGGAACTTCCTGAGGGGATGACAACTCCAGACTTCACACGTAAACCCATCGCTTTAACCATTCAAGAAGGTAAGCACATTAAAAGAGAAGAATCTACAAAAGTGAAATCAAATGTGACTGGAGTTGACACTTGAGAGCTAAATGATCCTGGATGTGAAATTAACAAGCTAGGAACACATACAGAGGATTACCATACAGATTTACTGCACTAAATGTCTAAGCTGTGCAGTTACCCCAACTGAACCTACGCAGTAGAGGAGTGATTTATCAAGTTCGCTGCTCGTCCTCCAGCTTTAACATGTGACCATGGCTATATATGCACCAGGGAAAGAAATACTACTATATTAAAATACTGTAGCATATATCCCATTTCACGCTAGTTTGAAATGCACAGCGCAAGACCACAAATGTGTAATGTATGCTTTCATTTATGTTTTTAATGACATTTCAAGCTATGAGTTTTTGTCATTTATTCTGCCTGTATCTAAACCATTTGACTTTGCCAAAGTGTCTACTGCTTTACAACTAAGAGGATCTCTTGAAAAACAGAACAATGTCAGCCATGTTAACTATTTCTAATAAGCAATAAAGAAAATGTGGTACGATTTTACAATAATGCATTAACTAACATAAACTAACAATGAGCAATACATTTGTTATGCTAATTATTCATCTTTATTAATGTTCAACTGTTCATTGTTAGTCCATGATAACTTCAAATATCCATCAAATAATATTACCGGATAAAACGTTTGATTTGATTGATAATAATGTATTAGTAAATGTTGAAATTGATATCAACAAAGATGAATAAATGCCTTTCAGGTTTTTTTCATTGTTATTTCATGATAACTGAAGTAGTTAACTAATGTTAACAAATGAACCCTTATTGTAAAAATATTTGTGACCTACAATACATTCACTACAATTCAAAAGTCTGGACACACCTACTTATTCTGTATTATTACTATTTTCCCCTTTTCATAAGAATAGCAAAGTCATCAAAACTATGAAGTATTGTTAGTTTAATATTGCTGTTGCACACTCGGGATATTCACTCAATCAACTCCACAAGGTGCATCCTGAGATGCATTTCAAATAGTCAATATGTATATATACAGTATATGCTGGGATCTTGTTAAATTATTAACATGTTAGTTTTGTATAGAAATGCACACATAGTTTATATGTGTCTACAAAACTAATTTCAAGCATTTAAGTGTATACCGTCAACCATTTTTCACAATGGAGATACATAAATTCAGTTAAGTGTGTCCAAGCTTTTGAGTAGTAGTGTACTGGAACACATTCTCTGATAAATGTTCACAGAACAATTCAAAACAAATAAGATTCCTGTAAAAGCAGCAATTAACCACCCACAAAGCATGTGACACAATAAATAAGATAAGAACAATGTTTTCAAGGAACTAGAATTCTTTTTTGAAAGCCTTTTAAGTTCTACTTTATATATATCTCTCAAGTCTATAACAACTTTCATTTTCGTGAATCAGGAAAACTAGCCATTTTTAAAGCCAAAGTGATTGGAAACCCAGCACCCACTGTAACCTGGCATAGAGGACTAATGTTAACAAATGAACCCTTATTGTAAAAATATTTGTGACCTACAATACATTCACTACAATTCAAAAGTCTGGACACACCTACTTATTCTGTATTATTACTATTTTCCCCTTTTCATAAGAATAGCAAAGTCATCAAAACTATGAAGTATTGTTAGTTTAATATTGCTGTTGCACACTCTGGATATTTACTCAATCAACTCCACAAGGTGCATCCTGAGATGCATTTCAAATAGTCAATATGTATATATACAGTATATGCTGGGTATATATCTTGTTAAATTATTAACATGTTAGTTTTGTATAGAAATGCACACATAGTTTATATGTGTCTACAAAACTAATTTCAAGCATTTAAGTGTATACCATCAACCATTTTTCACAATGGAGATACATAAATTCAGTTAAGTGTGTCCAAGCTTTTGAGTAGTAGTGTACTGGAACACATTCTCTGCAGTCTTGGGAAGGCTGAAGCTATTGGAGTTGGAGGTGGTGCTGTAGCGGTGGTAGGAGCAGTAATGGCTGCAGGAGCTACAGGTACTGGAGAAGCTGGTGGAGCCGGAGGAGCTGGAAGGGCTGATGGAGCTGGAGGTGCCGGTGGAGCTGGAGGAGCCGGTGGAGCCGGAGGTGCTGGTGGAGCTGAAGGAGCCGGTGGGGCTGGAGGAGCTGGAGGAGCCGGTGGGGCCGGAGGAGCTGATGGTTCTGGAGGAAGCGGTGGCGAGGGAGGAGAGGGAGGAGATGGAGGAGACAAGAAGCGTCAAAGAGCAGGACCTCTTGTACCAGAGAATGTCGTAGGTAAGAAATTATACAAGGAGACGTTAAATTTATCTATTCTATACAAATTACTTCTCACTTTTATCTCTACTATAACATTGCAGCAGTGTTTGGTTCTTACAGAAAACATACAGTCTAGCAAAGCAAGCCAAACTTTCATACAGTACATATACGGTATTGTATATACAAAAAACAATGCCATTAAAAGTAAGATTTTTTTTAATGTTTTTTAAAGAACTCTCTTATGCTGACCAAGGCTGCATTTATTTGATCAAAATTATAAAATATTATTACAATTTCAAATATAATAATAATTGCAATTTTAAATAATAATAATAATAACACTAATAATAAACATTTCTTATGATTATCACTGTTGTTTGCTGCTTAAAGTCTGTGTAAAGCAGTATAAAGCTGTTTTGTAAATGATCGCAACCAGGTAATATTCATTTACGTGGCAAAGGCATAGTTAGTTAGCAACCTGTAGGTTGTAGTAATTAACGGTAATGACAGTCGTCTAACTAGCGATTGAGCGGGCAAACCACTGATGCTAATGCACTCTAGTTATTAGGTGTGTTCGACTTAAAACAGCCAATCGGTGTATGACATCAAAGTACCGTGAGAGTGATTCGAAAGCAAGCAGAGTCGTCTGCTCTCTATAGCTCTCACGGTATTTAATCGAGACATGATTTCAGCCTTGCCCAGAAAATCCTGAAAACAAAAATGATGAAAAACTATTTAACGGTCTAACTCCACATTTCAGTACTAAATAGTTCAGAGTCTTTGTAACGTGTTTCAGCAATACATTTCTAACATTTATAATGTGTTTAGAAACAATTCTCTGAATTGCTTTTACACAGACTTTTGTGATTTATTTTTCAGGATTCTTTAATGAATAAAATATTTATTTGAAATAGATTTTTTTGTTTGTTTTAAAACAAATAAAATTCTTTACTGTCACTTTTGATCAATTTAATGCATCCTTGCTAAATAAAAGTATTAATTTATTGGTGTGTACAGTGAATGTATACAGTTTATATATGAATATACTCATTCATTCAGACACACTCCTACAGCAACTATACTGATACCTGTTCAATTATCTTCACAAATTTTATATTACGGATACCTTTTTACAAAACTGTTATTGCTTATTTTGAAGTGTCAGCATTCAACAGGTTTTGTAAAAGAGCTTTGGTTTTGTGCAACATCCTTGCACAACTTTCTGTTTGCTTATAAGCTGATGTTATTCTGTGCATGCAAATGCAATCATCACACTATATCCTAGAGGTGTTTTAGCTCAAGCGGGATACACACACAACACAATCAAAGCATTCCACATCCTGAGCTGATTAATTCACACTTTACATCAAAAATCATGATAGGAAGCTCAAACGCACCCAGCACAGTTCCAGATGTGAGCATGGAGCGTTGTAAACAGGAAGGGGAAGCCGAGGGCTGTACTCGTGTAAGACAAGGTCCACTGATACCAGACACAGTGACTGGTAAGAGTGTGGGATGAACACTAAATCCAGCTCATCTGTATTAAAATCCTGTGCAGTGATTACAGAAACTAAATCGTTTACTAAATTAAAAAGTGTATTTTCCATTAAACATCAACAGTAACACAAATAGCTTTTACTTGAATGATATATTGATCATGAGAAAGACATTTCAGTTAACATTAACAACCTATTTATTTATTTTTAATAAATACTGATTTATTAAGCATGATTATTAATTTTCAGTGATTAAGAGTGATTAATATATATATATATATAATACTTTTTACATGGGGAAAAACAGTGGAGTGCTTAAAAATATTATCACAACTAATGTCATTTCCAATAATATGAGATAATCAAACTGAAAACCTTTTTTTATTTTCTCTGTCATCGAATGTTCCATAAAATTAAAATTTTTCAGCTTAATGTGCTTCTCGGTTTGTCTGTCTTAATTGTTCGTTTGTGTCATTTATTTGTTCATGTACCTGTATTGTGGTGTTAGTTTGTCAGTGTTTTTCCCTGTCGGTGTGTAATGTTTCAAATGTTGTTGTGATGGTTTGGTTGTCTGTGGTGCTACGCTGGGTAGCCCCTCCCACTCGATATATCTCATTGGCCATATATCGAGCTCTCCATAGTTGTATATTAAACATCATGTTCTCAATGGTTGTGCAGCAGAGTCATGCAGCATTTTTGTTCCAGTTTCTGGTAACTTTTAAAAAATATATAATTCTTAACATTAATGCATTTTCCATTGTTGTGTAATTACATAAAAACAAAAACGGTGCACAAAATAACAATGTAACAGCCAATTGGAATATGTGATGTTTAATACAGAGCTTTGTGGAGCAGGATTTTTTAACCAATGAGATTTTATTGAGGATGGAATTACCCAGCGTGGCACAAAAGCAACAAAACTGCAGCACGTTTAGAGACTCAACCTTGGAAAATGTTCATGGTTTGCTTTTTTTGTGGCGGTTTTTGTTACAGTTTTCTTAAATGTTGCTTGTTTTAAGTGTTTTTCTTCTTATTCTAAATGTTCTTTCCAACCTCTTTATCATATTAATGTCAATCTTCAAAATGCTTCACCGACTGACCGAACGGCATGAATAAAGGTGGAGGTAACCCATCAGATAAAGAAAAACCATCAGGTTCCGGTAATCCATCAGGTTCCAGTAATCCATCAGGTTCCGGTAACCCATCAGGTTCAGGAAACCCGTCAGGTTCTGAAAATCCTTCAGGTTCTGGGAACCCATCCGGGTCTGCTAGTGCTTCAGGTTCTGGCAGCGCTTCAGGTTCGGGGGACCCACCAGGCCCCGGAAAGCCACCAGGTCCTGGAGGGCCATCAGAGGGCAGCACTGAAGCTACAAAGGAAGAAAAAAGAGCTGAAGATGAAAAGGATGAGTCAGCTAAAGCTGGCAAGCGTTCAGGCCGTAAAAAACAAGGCCCACAGGTTCCGGAGACAGTTGTTGGTAAGAGATGTTTGAAGTTGCACTAAATAATGACATTGCTTCCATGCAAATGTCAAAGTCATTCAGAATACTACTCAGGAATAACTGTGCAATCTCTTGTAGGAGATCTGGGTCTAATTCAGTCACATCATCTGAACAATAAACAAAGTTATCCAAGCACTTCCTATTCCTATTAAGTCTTTCATGTGACTATGGAGACATTTTTGCACATTAATAATCAGAAAACTTCTTTATTCGGTTATCAAGCATTTACATGTTCTGCCACAACATCCCTGAAGGACTTAGGTCCTTGTATAATGTTTTACTTAATTTAGCTTTAATTTAACCATTCTGGACGTGTTTTGGATCTTATTTCTGCGGGATCAAATATCTCACAAAATACCTTGGGACTTCCTAGATAACTTTCCACTGACAAACTTAGTTGGTTTCATTGTCCCAATTGCTCATCATTTAAAGATTATACCCCTAGCTTCCACAGAACAGGCTTTGTAAGCATATGCATATTCATATCAGCAGTTCTTGGACATAAAGTTTGTGTTGAAACTTTGTGAAGGCATATCTGATGCGCAAGCTCAAAATAAGTGAGGGATATGTTGAGCAAGGCGGGCTGTAATCAGTAACTTTAATAACCTCTTTAATTAGGTTGATTCGAGTAGGCGGACGTTATTTGGCTTACATAATTGGATAACTTTGTTTATTGAAGGAATGATTCAGTCAAAATGGAAAATGCTGTCTTTATATGTATTTACGCTCATGCCATTCCAAACCTGCATATTGTACATTTTTTCTTTGAAAGACAATAATATTAATAATAGTTTCATTTTATTTTATTTTATTTATAATTTATTTTTATTTTTTGTAAATTATTTTATAGTATATTATAGTTTTATTTGTTTGTTTGTTTGTATAAAGAATCATATGGTTTACAGTGCTTATGGTGCTTTTGTTATGCTTGACAGCCTGTGGTCAATATGACTGAACTGACATAGAAGATCTATGTAAAAATCCTTTATAAATTCATTTTTTGAATTTACCAGGTTTTAACAGGTTTGGAGGCTCATCTCTGAGTAAACTATTCCTTTAAATAAAATAAAGCTCTATATAATTGGACTGAGGACCAATACCTTTGTTGAAAACTTTAATGTTTTATTAAAAGATTCAGTAATAAATGTGTAAAACAAATAGTAGCTACCCAGTCTGCAATGTGCCAGCTATTTCTTATGCACTGTGTGTGTGTCTGCTGTCTGTGTATATCAGTATGTGCTTGCTTGTCTTGCTAAAGGCCAATCACCTCGCTCATTAATCAGAGGAACTGGGGCATTATAAGATCTTAATAAATTCAGCCAAATATGACTTCACAAACTTTAATTACGAGAAGACAAATTAAGGATTTTTTATGTCCTAGAAGACCTGAAAATTCAAGTAGAAGTCATTCCAGAAAGATGTTTCTTTGCCTTAACACTAAACTCACAAAAAGTAACTGAATCAATATTTACCTGGAGATTTTAAAGCAAATTCTTTAAAAAAAGTTTCCAGAGAACAAATAATACAAAATGGGGGGAAAAGGGGGGGAATATTTATATTGATCTAATAGAACAGCAACATTATTTGGTAATACCACCAAATCCAGAAGGTTTCCATAATTTTCCCATTAGTGGGGAACTTAACAAATAATTAGAGTCACTACTAATTCAGCGATTTCTCTCAACTGAACAACTTCACCCAAGGGTGAAAATGTACTATTAGAACGTCTGTACAATGCAGTTCAAAACAAGGCAGGTTAAATGTGTAGCAGCCATTCAGAGATGCTTCATAAGTGGTCTTTGTCATCATGATGGATTCTAAGAAGATACGGATTCTAAGTCAGCACTGAAGACAATGGCAAGATATATTTGATTTTTTTTTTCAGACACATTTCTAACTTTCATTCACATTTAAATGAAAGTTAATGCATTTTAGCATGTGCCCATTAAATATGTATGCCCATACTTACTACTGTAAGTGTACAATTTCACTGCTGTAGAATTGCTACAGTAGGCCTCAGTTAATGTGTGTGGAGTACATTTCAAACAGCAATGCAGCAAAATGATAACCATTCTTGAATTATTAATTACTAATTTTGTTCACAAATCACCTGCAGATCCTGGTGTTCACTTTTCTGCTGGGCTGGAAGACTGCAAAGCTATTGTGGGAGAGGCAGCTGAACTAGTCTGCAAACTTAGCAGTGCTGACTGTAATGGCGTCTGGTCCAAAGATGGCAATGAGGTATAAAGTTACCATATATATGTATATATGATGTGTGTATGTGTGCATGTATACACATACACTCAATTTTTTACATTTCTCTGTAGATTACTGCCTCCACTGAGGGTATAACTATCAGCAGAGAGGAAGCCGTTCACAAACTGAAAATTGCAAAAGTAACAGACGAATTTGCTGGAAAATATCGATTTGAGGCTGATGGGCGTAAAACTGAATGTGTGATTGTTGTTGAAGGTTTGTTTTGTAATATCTGCTCATTTGTGCTAATGCATATGCAAATTATTCGAAATGTAACATTTATACTTAAAAAAAATTAATCTGTTTGTTTAAGATCCACCGAGATTCAGTGACAAGGAAATTGAAGCATTTGCAAAACCGATTGTGATCAAACACAATCAGAAAGCCACCTTTAAAATTCCATTTATTGGCCGTGAGCCATTCAAAGTCCAGTGGTACAAAGATGGTGAAGAGCTCATGCCAGACTCTCACTGCAAGATTGAGATTTCAGAGGGTGAAAGCCGTCTGCTTCTCACCAAACTACAGCGTAAAGACACTGGGGAAATAAAAATCAAAGTCAAAAATGAGTTTGGTGCAGCTGAAGCCATTTCTAATCTAGTTGTACTTGGTGAGTACAAAAAAGTGAACTAATTAAACAGGCTGTATTTTTAATAAGAATGTAGTACAGTTTGGTTACAAAATTACACTCCACTTTGCCTGATACATTTTTACTTCATTTAGATAAACCTACCCCCCCACTTGGACCACTGGAGATCATTGAGGCATCTGCCAACTGCATTGAGATCAAGTGGAGACCACCAAAAGACAATGGTGGTTGCCCTATTAAACATTACATACTTGAGCGTAACCAAATTGGACGCAACACATGGAAAAAGATAGGCCAGATCCCAGGTGAAGCCCACTACAGAGACACCGATGTTGACCATGGCAGGAGATACTGTTATCGTATCAGAGCCGAGACTGATGAGGGCATCAGTGAACAGATGGAGACTGAGGATGTGCAGGCTGGCACTAAAGGTGACTTACTAAAAAAATCTCTCAAAGTAGCCTTGTGCTAGTCAATCGCCATCCAGACTTGTCTTAATATAAACCTATGAAATGATTACTTTTCAGCATATCCTGGTCAGCCATCTGCTCCTAAAGTAGCCAGTGCCTTCAAAGACTGCATTAACCTGACATGGAGTCCTCCAACCAACACTGGAGGAACCAGTATTTTGGGTTATAACTTAGAGAAACGCAAGAAGGGCAGCAACTTGTGGGGTCAAGTCAATCCAACAGATCAGCCAATCCAAGGTTTGTATCGCAGGAGCTGAACAACTACATCTTGGCTATGCCTCCTCCAGGTGAATCATCTCATCTACGTTCAGAAAGGCCATAAAATGAAAAAAAACTACCTCTCATTTTCAAAAACTGAACTGGATATGCCCCATTATTAAATCAAGGTTTTGTTTTTCTTAGTGAGACCGAGCAAAGACTGCATTAACCTGACATGGAGTCCTCCAACCAACACTGGAGGAACCAGTATTTTGGGTTATAACTTAGAGAAACGCAAGAAGGGCAGCAACTTGTGGGGCCAAGTCAATCCACCAGACCAGCCAATCCAAGGTTTGTATCTCATATTTTTACACAAGTTACTTTAAAGTACTGTCTGCTAGTAATGTTTACTTCTCAATTGCCATCCACAGCAAAGAAATATCCTGTAAAAGATGTAGTTGAAGGAATGGAGTATGAGTTTCGTGTGTCTGCCATCAACATATCTGGAGCTGGTGAACCAAGTAACCCCTCAGAATTTGTGTTTGCAAGAGATCCCAAAAGTGAGTAATTTCTCAGGTTGCTCATTATCTTCAAAAAGAGAAGAGGAATTCAGCATAAGTATTCTCAAAGCTGTACATTTCAAAAAATGAACCATGGCCTCCCCTCATAGATATGCAAAAATAGCAGATTTAGGTCAGAATTTTCTGGGTTTCAAAATAACAAGCTAATTTGAACTCCTCTTGCACTTCTCCCTATTTTCTCGTTCAACGTTTTCTCATGCAAATGCTTTCATCTCAATTTCCTGTTAGAACCCCCTGGTAAAGTCATTGACCTTAAAGTGACAGACTCCACCTATACTACCTTATCCTTGTCTTGGACTAAACCAAAAGAAGAGCCTGGTGTTCAGGATGAGGCCAAGGGATACTTTGTGGATGTCAGGCCTGCTGAGAACACTGAATGGGATCGATGCATCACAAATGCCATTACCATGACCTCTTACACTGTAAAGGGACTGAAATCAATGGCCATGTATTGGGTTAGAGTGATCGCCGTCAATGAAGGTGGAGAGGGTGAGCCACAGGAGCTGAACAACTACATCTTGGCTATGCCTCCTCCAGGTGAATCATCTCATCTACGTTCAGAAAGGCCATAAAATGAAAAAAAACTACCTCTCATTTTCAAAAACTGAACTGGATATGCCCCATTATTAAATCAAGGTTTTGTTTTTCTTAGTGAGACCGAGATTCACGGATTCTAAGATCAAGAGCTTCATTGTGGTCAGAGCTGGAAATTCTGCACGATTCAACATCAACTTTGAGGTAATGGGCAATACTAAAACCATACTATTAGAGACCAAACCAGGGGTTTAGAACTTGTATCACAAAAAGTGTGTCACTTTTTGGGAGACAATCATTATATTCTACCTGTCGTGTGAAGGTCTGAAATATAACCAGACTCCTGTTGCCCCTCCTCGATTCCTTGATCAAAAATGTAGTGCTGACTTCAGCAAATCATTTAGGACTACTAGCTGAATAATATGTCCCATAATTAATATTCATGAGCCAGGCTATAACATGCTCCCTTCTCATACACTTTTCAGATCATTCCTATTCCACTCATTAAAACTATATTTTGCTCTGGCCACATGTCCGATACTTGTCCTATATTAACTTTTCACAGGCTTCCCCACTGCCTGATGTCATCTGGCTTAAAGATGGTATCCCTGTGTCCAAACGTGCCACTATTAGCAATGCTGAGGGAGGTTCTCAGATCCTGATCCCATCTGCAGATCGCTCCGATACAGGAATCTATACCATCATAGTCAAGAACGTTGTGGGACAAGAGACCTTCAGTATTGAGATTAGAGTTACAGGTAAAATAAGGGAACCAGTGTATGTCTGTGAATCTGTTATTATCAAAGATACCATCTTAAATGATTGACTGTAGCATCACCAAATAGAATTGAAAAAATGTTTTCAAATATGTTTTCCTAAATAGTCCCAGTCTGTCTGGTTGAAAAACATAGCTATACCCCCATCTCACGCCATGTTGATATGTTGGGCTGGTCGGAATTTTTAAACAGAGCAATGTTTTGTTAGTATTGTACCACAGATCCACGGTGCTTGTATTTTTTTGGTGAAATCATTTTATGAATAACTTATAGTCTCAACGTATTAAGCTGGGACTATAGAAAAGTATTTGAACTAACTCAATAAAAAAAAA